TGGACAGCTCAGATCTGTTGTATTTGTATTTATTTATAGAAGGACCATGCATACAACAACATTAATCTCAGCAAAGAGAAGAGATGCAATATGCCAGATTATAGCTAATAGCTCATTTCCATCTGTGGTCCTCAGACAGGTTCATAACAATCAATAAACAAATAATAACATTGCATGATCTCTATCAGTCAAACAATTTTAAAACCTGATTTAAGTACAGCTCAATAAATTAATACATAGTACACTTGAAATACACTTACATGATCTCGGTCACTCAAATAATTACAAAGCCTGATTTAAATTCAGGTTACGAACATAATACTTAGTAGCCTAAAATACACTTAAAGATGGGGTAGGTAAGTTTCCGAAACCGGCTCGAGATACACTTTTTGTTATATTCCATGGAATGCTCTTAACATCCCGATAGCAATGAATATCTGAAGTGCTTTGACAAAAAATCCATTAAAAAATGTCATCTGTGGAAGCCGTAATACTGTAAAAAGCACGACCAATCATTTTAGCCGGCCCGGCTAAACGGATTGGATTGCCGCCCTGTCTGTCAGCCTTCCATCTCGTGCCCTCATTGGGCGTGTCGTAATTGGGCGTGCATTGCGCGTTCATGTGTGTTGGAGGAGGTGCTCTGTAAGGAAGTCTGAAGGAAGGGGCGGATTCTTTTCGGCTGTGTACTTTCAAATTGTAGTGCACTCAAGCCGGTTTCTGAAACTTACCTACCCCAAAATATCTAAGACATAGTATGACAATACAGTTCAAATAAAAAAAATACTCAGATTACAGTGTAATTAATGTTGGCATGACTGGTTGCCGGTAGCGGAGGTAAGGCACACACACCAAATGTTCAGGACATTGTTAATACAGCGAAAATCAAAGCTGACGATCTCTTGGTTTGATATGTTTTCTCCCCCAGACAACATGGACATAAGAACACTTCAAAGAAGAGGAAAGTAAGTCATCAGCTGGTAGCAGTTAATCAGTTAACAGTGATGGCGGCGGCGGCAAAAGCGTCTCACTTCTTGAGAGGAGTTTCGTCTTTATGTCATGATAGAGAGACACAAATACTGAATAGTTTAGATGAGAAAAGGCATTGAAATGCCAGGTTACTGGTATTTATCATGTAAACAGGGAACATGAATAACCGATCTCTCTGTGCTCATGTAAACACCATGATGTCCATGTAGAGACGCAGTCATGTGTTTTACTGGAGCCTCAGTTCGATAAGAGATTATTTTCTGAGTTCTTCGGTACTCTCTCTCAAAATGGTAATGTGCATTATGTTTTAATTATACTCCTTATCATTCAGAAGCTTTTTGTGTGTGTTTATGTTTTACTGAGTGCTTATAGGCCATTTCCATCCCAGTATTTATTTTCTGTGCACATTACATAGATAGCTAATATTCTACCTACTGCTTGGGACAAAATGTCCAATGTCACAGACTGGGACTTACTTTAGAGTCAGTTGTATTTACATTCAGTATGACTTGTTGATCTGTTTGGTGTTTGGAGCCAAACACATGTTTTGTATATATCTGAGAGCTATAATATATTGATGAAAAACAGTATAATAGGGACCTTTAAATAATGTGTGATTTCAGTCGAGTGAGAGTGAGAGTGAAGAGCCACAAGATGGCAGCGTGTTCACAGAGGAACGATGGAGAGGATGGAGACACTTTTTTTTTTAATTGAATACTATTGATCATAACATCAATATCATATAAAGGTGGGAGAAGTACTCAGTAATTAAGTACATTTACTCAAGTTCTGTACTTAAATACAATGTCGAGGGTCTGTACTTTACTTGAGTATTTCCATTTAATGCTGCTGTGTACTTCTACTCCACTACAGTTCAGAGGTACATGGTGTACTTCTCCTCCACTACATGTATTTAATACCTTTAGTTACTTCACAGATGTGGATGAATGATGTGAAATATAACCAAGTGTTGAATCAGACTTTAGTTCCACCTGGAGTAAATCCACCAGCTACCCTGCAGTATACAAAGTCATTCAAACTAGCTGCACCTTCACCAGCTTTGAGAACACTTTCATGATCAATCATTATAAAACATATCATATATATTATTCTGAAATGGACCAATCTGCACAACGACTACTTTCACTGTCGCTACTTTCACTATATTTTAGATGATAATACTTTTCTACTTTACTTGAGGAACATTTTGAATGCAGGACTTTTACTGTAACAGAGTATTCCTACACTCTGGTACTTCTACTTTTACTCAAGTCCAAGATCTGAGTACTTCTACTTTTACTCAAGATCTCAGTACTTCTACTTTTACTCAAGATCTCAGTACTTCTACTCTACTCTGCATAAAGACAGCAACCGTCGATACGCGCCAGACAGGAAGAGGCACTTTCAAAATAAAATCATGATAATTAAAAAGGGCAGTATTGGTGTCTGCACAATGTTTTATTTTGCAAAACCAAATCATGTTTAAAAGTGTATTTTAGTCTGTTTCCCCCTGTTTTAATCTACTCTAAATGTTTTGTTTGGTGTTCAAATAAAATAAAATGTTGTGATATCTGCTTTTGTCTGTATATTATATGCTTTCACTCAGTCATGTGTATACTTTTTAAGTTGTATTTCCTATTTAAACATGGTTAGGATAGTAAAATACGAGATACACCGCAGATAACTCATTAATATCAACCATCGACTTATTCTATAAATGTTGATAAGTCAACTTCATTACATTTTCCTCACATTTCCTTTATATCATATCTATTACATAATGAAATGATTTGGGCAGTGCACATAAGGCACTTGTTTTCTGTAAGCTATGGATAGAGACTTGGCTTTAGCACGGGGTAGGTTTATTAAAACGTGATGACAACACAGGCTTTAAAGGATTATAGTAAAGTCAGTTAATGAGGATATTGAGCTCGTGGATTATATCTGCAGCAATATGTCGACTTAAAGCTGGTGCTCTTCACTTCATGCAGATATATTTAACCACTGAGCTACAATATAACTTTACCAATGCATTAACTCCACATTTGAGATACCAGGGTATATGCAGGAAATCTGAAGTCAAATGTAATACCTTTTAAGACCTTTTTTAAGACCCTTTCCATACATTTTAAGACCTCATCGTAACTTCGAGTTCTAACCGGTTACCTTGGCGACACACTTTACCTCACATTAACTATATACAGTATTGATTGTAAGATAGCACAACTTAACAGCTTGTGATAACTCCTTATCAATTCAGATAGAACAAAGCACAAGAGAATGAATTGTGTGACCAACCCAATGCATTGATTTAGGCATTGTTCCCAAGACATAAAACAGACAGACTTCTGAAGCCTCCTCTCCACATGAACTTCAACCTCTCTGTGAAGGTCAGGGTTAATGCAGGATGCTGCTTTGTTGCTTCTGTACTCTGTGCTCTTTCATTCCAGTGAAACCATTAGAAACCATTAGAAACCATTAGAAACCATTAGAAACCAGTATTTGACCAATAAATAAATAAATTAACAAAACTTTGAACTATGAAATATATTAAACGTTGGTGAGCTTCAGCGGGGTAACGCCATATAGGAGCTCCCTCACAAAGACCCAGGGGTTAAATTGGGCTGGGGCTGTCCGGGGCTAAGCCCGGCACAAAGGACGATGCTCTGACGTCATCACCCTCGCACATTTGTCATGTTTACAAAAAACGATATATGTTAAGACTTTTTTCGTTCTTAATATAGACTATATTTAGGGTCGATATACCTTACTTTAAAATAGCAGATCTCTGTGACCGGATATCGTTTTTTTGGTTGGAAAAATCCCCAACGAGGCGTTCTGGGGCAGCACAGACAGGTCTTCTCTGTGTTAGAGGTTTACTCGCTACAGGCTGTACTTTGAGGGTTTGTGACTGCAGACCGCTTCACATGCAGAGAAACCTTCATAACACAAGGGGACGGGTGATATCCAGAAAAGCATGACATGGGACCTAAACAACAATTAAAATAATGTAAAGAAAAGTACATTCCAGCCATTTTGATAACCAATAGGGGTATTTAATCCAGCTTTCTAAATATGAAAATGTGCTGCTTATCTTATTTTAATGCACTAAATTGATCTGATAACCTACATTACTACTTTACAAATAAACAGTTCTTAAAGGTGGGGTAGGTAATTCACTTCAGAAACACTTTTTGTTATATTCCATGGAATGCTCTTAACATCCCGATAGCAATGAATACATTAAATGCTTTGACAATAAATACATAAAAAAAATGATTCTGTCATTCTGTCTATTCTGTCATCAGTGGAAGAAGCCGTGGCGCTGTAAAAAGCACGACCAATCATCTGAGCCGGCTAAAGTAACTGGATGGCCTACCTGCCTGTCAGCCTTCGTGTGTGTTGGAGGAGGGGCTCTGTGAGGAAGTCTGGAGGAAGGGGCAGATTTTTTCCGGTTGTGTACTTTCAAATTCTAGCGCACTCGAGCTGGTTTCTCCTTTCTAACATTTCTAACATGTTTTTTGTTGATGTAGGTATTTTTCTTCGGTAAAATTAATTAAACATTCATTTAAATTGTAATTTTTAAGTTAAAAAAGAGGAGGATTTTCACCATGATTAAAACAAATAAAAGCCTACCAATCGGATTCTTTTTGTTACCGCAGGGATTTTTCTTGTGTGAAATGTATTAATTAATACATTATTTAACTTGCTATTAAGGATTTTTTAAAGATGTTTTATTTTTTTTAACCAAACCCTTCTAAATTATTTAACATAATAAAAGTCTACATTTTTTTGTTAACAGTAGGAATTTTTCTTGCGGGAAATTAATTAATGTATACATTAACTTAACTTGTAATCAAGTATTTTAAAACACAAACGTTCTCAACGATTACAAAATATATAAAAGCCTACCACTCGGACTTTTATTTTCTTAATGATTCCACCGGAAGTACCTTTCATCGTGGTTTTACTCAGTTTGACGCAGCTGTCTGCAGACCTTCAGCTGCTGCCACACGGAGCAGAGACTCAGCCTGAATCACTGTGGATATTTCGGGGAGGTTTAGCAGAGAAAACACGCAGAAAAGCAGGATAAACACCGGGAAAAAGGGAGATTTACCCCGGTGTGTTGCTGCAGGATGGCGGACCGGGACCCGGTTCCTCTGCCGGCGGAGGTTCGGGCCAGACTGGCCGAATTGGAGCTGGAGTTATCCGAGGGTGAGTCACATTTCACCGGGGAGCTCCGGGTCGCTGTGCCCGGGCTCCGGTGCTCCTCCACCGGGTGTTTGAGTCGCTGCTGCTCGGTGTCTCTCGAGCTTTTTGTGGAGGAAAAAGTGTGGAGCCGCAAAATGTCACAAGTTCAAGTCCACATGTTTTACAGTCATGATGAGAGGGGGGGGGGGGGGTGTTTTGGAAGTGTTTAAATGTAAGTAGGCATCCAGATAAAGCATACAAACTGTCCAAATGGGAGGTTAAAGATGTCAAAAAGTGGCATGCTTTGGAAAACTGTGGCTTTCTTATGGTATTCTTCCAATTCTTTGCCTGAGTAAATCTAGAAATAAAGCATTCAAACTGTACAAATGTAAGTCTGCAGATAAAGCATCAACACTGTCTAAATGGAGGTTACAAATGTCAAAAAGTACACCGAAATGTCTTAAAATCACTATTTCTGGCACATGGGTAGAATCATTACATCAGAAATCATTACTACGCAGTACGCACCAAGTTAAATGACACAAATGTTACATTGACTTTATAGGGGCTGCAGCCATCGCATTGTGTGACCATTGACTATCTTAACAATGTTTTGTTTAACATTTGAGTGTAAATAATGGCATCAGAAAGCGTCAACAGACGGCTTCAAATTCCTTTGTTGCAAACTGCAGACCCAGGATATGTAGTTTACAATGATAACAGAGAGACACAAGCAGTATACTGTAGGAGATAGGAACCTGGCAGTACTACGCACCAGGACCATTACATTCATGTTATTAAAGGCTGCACACATGGCTTTATGTCATTATTGACAACCCTTTCCAATGTTTGAATCAACATTGAGGAGCTCAAAATCAAAATACTGCCATCTGAACGTTTCTAGAGCCCAAAGTATTGTGTTTTTGCACGTGGCAAAGCAGACATATTCAGTTCACTGTGATAACAACAGAAAGTTTGATGATTATTTTATTATACTATAGTACACTCATCACCTACTTGTATAACATCATGGAAGTCTAAATGGACTTAAATTCAACGTAAAGTGCTAAAACAATGCCAGTTGAAAATATCCTGGGCCCAATTTAACATCTTTGAATCCCTCTTTTTGCTTTACACACCCAACGTATTCAGTTGACAATGCACACTTAAAAGTCTCCACTGAGCATCGTAGCTCTCAGGGGAATATCACAGGACTGCTGTAGAGATTTATCCTTTTGTCTTTCTCCAGATTTAGTGAAGTTTCTTCTTCTCCTCCTCCTTCTTCTTCTTCTCCTCCTCCTTCTTCTCCTTCTTCTTCTTCTCCTCCTCCTCCTTCTTCTCCTTCTTCTCCTTCTTCTCCTTCTTCTCCTCCTCCTTCTCCTTCTCCTTCTTCTTCTTCTCCTTCTGTCTGCACGTTGGGAAATCCTTACATTACGCTCATGCAGCTGTCTGCACGATGTTCACATGATGACACCATGCACGATTCCCATTTCACTGCAGAGTCTTATATTCTTTTTTGCAAGAAGCGTGAAAGGCAGCCTCGGTATTGATTTTCTCATTAGCCCCTCTTCCTCCTCTTCCTCCTCTTCCTCCTCTTCAGATTGATATGTCACATTGCTGCAGACTCGCTCTCAGTGTCAGATTTCAGCTGCGTTTCCTCACAGCTCAGCCATGTATGGAGAAAGACAGAGGATTTTAAACAGCTGACTGCATTGCATTTTAATGTTTCCACTGCAGGGAGCTCAGGGAGGAATGAGGGAGGGGGAAAGGTAATAATAACACTAAAGCTTTGTTTTTATAGAATAACAAACAACTTAGGATATTCCTCCAACTGTCGGCCTGCAGATAACGCATCAAAACCGTCCAAAAGTACACCGATTTGACATAAAATCAAGCAGCGACGAGGTAGAACTATTGTAAATGGAAGATATACCTTTCATGTTAACCCTTAAATCATGAATATGCAGCAATAAGAAGTACACAACTCTTAAGGGATGTTACATTTACGTTATAAGGGCTGCAGCTATGGCTTTATTTCATTATTAGGCGCTTCCACACCGGAGTACTTTTCCCAGTATAGTTCCGAAGATTTTGCGTTCACACCAAAAAAATCCGGAACTAGAATCTAGTCCATGAGAACCTTTCCACCCCCTTTTCAGTCCCTGCTAGAGAGCAGGTACTTTCATGGGAGAAGAAGGTTCCCATTTCTGATTGGCTGGGCGGATTTCAAACCACGCCCCGTAAAACTGTGAAAAGTTTTGTGAAGCCGCCATTTTATTTGCTCGCATTAGCATTATTAGCATTAGCATTAGCCCAGAGCACCAACGGAGAGAGACTAACTTATAGATAGATAGATTCAACTTATTGTCATTACACAGTACAGGTACCATGTAACGAAACGGTTTCTCTGCATTTGACCCATCCTAGTGTTAGGGACAGTGGGCTGCCATTATGTACGGCGCCCAGGTCTGTTATGGCAACACAAAATAAAACATGGGAGCGGTGGAGATGAGGAGGTGTCGGCGTTCTGGCGATTTACTCTGAACGCTGAACTCCGGGGACTTCCGGCCGGGGACTTCGGGTGGCAGTATACGCCGTGAAGTGGTTTGCGGCCTGCCAGTAAACCCAAAGCAGAAGAAGAAGAAGAAGAGACGTCAGCGGCTTCATTTGCCTAATCCTCCCTCAGGGAACGCGATCTAGTTAGGTGCGCGTTCACATGAAAGGGGTGGTATTTGGAGCTTTCGACCAATCACAAACATGGAGATGCGTACTGACAGCGCAGCGTCATACTTCCTGAATGAAAAGTGAACTTTAATATTAGTCAAAATATGAAGAAGTTAAACTTTAAACATCCATGACTTAAACACTTGATCCAGGATCAAAGCCACATGGCTGCACCTGCAAGGTGAATACAGCTGGTAACAGAACAAGTGTTTGAATGCGTACATTAACAGGTTTATGATATCACTGCCCCGTCTAAAACAAGATCTGACTTTCATTACATTTGACTCGAGTGTTTCCTCAACTTAATGTGTTGCTTAAAATAATACTTCTGTATCCAGTATGTGACGCTGTGAGTGTTGCACGGCCAGATACGGCTCAGCTGACTCAGATCAGGAGATATATGATACATTATGATGTGATATGGACTGTACTTAATGTTACTCTGATCTGGTTACTTATGTTGTGGCAGATATTTAAGTAAGCTTTCTTAACGCTAATGTTATAATAGTCAGATTGCTCTGAAGATGGAGGTGATATTCTATTCATGTTCACGTTCACACAGTCGGTGATTTTGGCCGGCCGTCTTTCCTGCAAGTACTATTATTTTGGGGAATCTGTTGCACAACTGGTCATATATTGAATAATTACATATTTGTTCTATGTCAGAAAATAACAATTAATGATCAGTTTGAGCTTGAGTTTAATAACATTTTGGTTCAAATGCTAGCCTCTGCTTTATGACGTACGAAGGCGTTTAACCTTTTCAACGATCAAAAACTGAGAAAAGCTGCAAATTAGGGCTGAACGATGAATCGCTTTTAAATCGAAATCGCGATTTGAAATGATGCAATTATCAAATTGCAAAGCCTGCGATTTAAAAAATAAATGGTGTGGATGTGTGTCAGTCCTCCACACCAATCAGAAGTGCTGTGCTCCACATGTACCAGACATTGTTAATCAATCAGAAGTGGCCCATGATAGAAGGTGATAGACAGATTGATCCAATCACCTGCCAAGTGCTTCTGAAAGTGCCTGCCCTTTCCAAATGGCTTCCAACGGAGCTTTAGATGGTTGAGTCAGGTTAGTAATGCTCCATCACATGTTTCTATTACAGGGAGAGTCTGAAACTGAAGCTCGACTTTAAAGCAACCCAACAGAAGTTTCATGTAAGTTTAGTTCTTTCACTCGTAGCTCAGGCTGCGGGGGTGCTAGAGACGGGAGCACGTTGATACGACCTTCCTAGCCGGAGATATGGCCGCATTTTACAATACACTTCCGTTGGGTCGCTAAAAAGCAAATATCGCAATCGCAATATCTGTCAGAAAAATCGCAATTAGATTTTTTTTTTCCCCAAATCGTGCAGCCCTACTGCAAATGATGAAATTGGAAAAGCAGGAACTAGTGAGCGTTTGATCTTGAGGGTTTCATCTCTTCAGCTGAGAGGTTTTTTCTTGCCTTTTGTTGCCTAGAGACCTCAGAAAGACCTTCAAACTGTAAATACTTACTTCAGATGCCTTCGCCCCTTCAGAAACCGAGTGATTCATTCTTCATTTTGCTCGTGAGCGAAGCGCCAACAAAGATATCATTTTCCTCTCCAGCAGACGAGGTGAACCCTGGGATCTCTGGCGGTTAATGAAAGGCCAAACTTAATGCATTCACACACTGACATTTCACTGCATCAATTACACGCAGCGGGCTGAAATACAACACATGATGTCTCTAGAAATGTCTCTGCTGACTGTAAGTGAAGTGTTACATAAATACATGTGGCAACAATGAAATCTGCCATCAGAGAAATGAAGAATAATACGCTTATTGTCTGTATTTCATGCATCTACAGGAAAACAAGTGAACTCAATGATAATAATCAGACAATTAAGTGACAAACGATCACGAATAAGCCTTGGACCTTTTGGAGAGACTGTAGACATATTGCACGGTAAAAATAACATCCTTTATTAATTATTTATCATGTTGACTCCATGTTTCCTCTGCAGTTCATCCCCTGCTGGTTCAGGTGATGCTGCAGGAATGAAAATGAGACTTGTTATTAGGCTGGATTTATTATATAATATATGTTAATATGGGTTTAATTGACGTCATCTAATTATCATCCACAGCTCTGGTGTGATAATATTCTGGGTTTGAACTGAATGCAAAAGGGTTGCTTATATTTAACGTTGTTACTGTGCACTTTTGGTCAAAACAAGGGTCATAAAATAACATTTCTCATTCATTATTAAACATATTTATTCCATCTTTCCTCTGCAGTTTCAGCTCAGGAGTCTGCGTTGTATTAA